AATATCAAATAACAAAGTCTTATATACATAGTGAATAATATAACAAAATATTGGCCTTTTGTTAGATTTTGAAATAGTTGAATATTTGATTGGATTAACTTTTGTCCGACTTTTTTTCTTTTTGTGCGCTTATTTTGAAAACTGATATTTATAGCAGAAGAAATGTTTTCTGAGATAACTAGATGTACGTGTTTAAAAGTGAATGAATTTGAGTTTCGGAGTATTTATTTAGTTCCAAGCCAAATAAATTATGATAATGTATTGATAAATGGATGCAGTTTACAGACAAAAATTGCCAGAATAAGCCAGTCTTGTAGTTTTTGTTTAAAATTGTTGTTTCAGTGTTCATTTTTTTTCTCGTGTATAATAAATTTCATCATGACTAATCATGTACCTGAGAGTTTATATAAATTTTCATCCAATATTTTAGATTGTTTCCAATGGGATTTTCTGTTATACTCTTGACATTAGGGGCAGACTGTTTCCTTGCTTACATACTGATATTTTATATAGATTTAGGAATATTAAAATACTTCTTAAAGCATCTAGCCTTGATTTAGGTTTGTTAAAATACTTCTTTAAGTAGTTAGTCTGGAGTAAGGTATATTACTGTACTTCTTAAAGCAGGTAGCCTCATTTTAGGTATATCAACATCTTAAGGCAGCTAGCCCTGATTTAAGTGTGTTAAAATTCTTTTTGAAGCTGAAGCCACTATTAAGGTGTATTGAAATACTTCTTAAAGCAGCTAGCCTTGATTTAGGTGTATTAAAAAAATATTAAAGCAGCTAGCTTCAATTAAGGCGTATTGAAATACTTAAAGCAGCTAGCCTTGATTTAGGTGTATAAAAATACTTCTCCCCAGATATGTGGTTTAATATTTAGTGAAACTTTTAAAAAATGTAAACGGTACAAATTAAGAAATTTAAACATTGCTGTAGGCACTTACTATTCACAAAAAATTCTTGTTACTTCTCAAAACATACAGAAATAAGTTTACCCTTTTTTAGTAACAGGTAAGAAAAAAACAAACAAATAATATGCATGAACCATTAAAATTTTCATTTATAATGTGAATATATTTGTTTTCTAAATATTAAACTATAAATGATTAAATATATTTTCCTCAAATTTGATGTAAACTTTAAAGTTTTTGCTCATCTAAAGATGTGTCCCTTTAAAGCTTCTGCCTAGATAAAATTCATGTTAAGTTTATTTCAAGGTTAAATTTTGGGTTATATAAGAAGGAAACAGTCTGCCCTGGTCTCTTCGTTTAGTGCTATTTGAAATTCATGGTATTTATGATCATTTGTTTGGATATTTAAATTTGGAATTTAATGAAAGTAGTAAATAAATAACATCAACACCAAGTTTCGTTTCTGTTGTTTATTATTATATATTTATGTAATGAAAGGGAAACAATCCACATGGACTTGGTACCCCCATGACGGGGTAGTTAAGGTTACTTTTTGGGGGGATAAATCTCTCTAATCTCAGTTTATTCGATTTCCGCCACGATATCAAGCGATTTATCTACATTTCTGATACTGCGTACATGGTTCTACTCTGTGTGCAGGGATTGCTTGTATTCAAAGTTAATGCATGTAAAAGCATCTTGAGTAAAACTAACGAAAATTTTCCCTATTTAGTCCCTAGTACTACATGTAGCTTCGTCGATCCCCGGGAGATGCTTTGGTAGTTTAGCGCGGAGGAAGGTAGTCAAGTACTGGTGTAACTCTCCAGGAACGATGGTTAGGAAACTCCCCGCCTATATGACTGAAATACTGTTGCAAAAAGGCGTAAAATGACACAAACAAACAAACAAAAACATGTAGCTTCGATTATTTCATGGGATTTAACCCCTACCCATTCAGGTCATGGTCTCGCAATAGTGAATTTATGTTTATCCCAGCCTTTACGTAAATTAATATTTTCTTATTTAATTCAAATCAATTGTATAAAAACATTTGAATACAAAGGGAGATAATTTTAAATCATGTTACAAGAAAATTAGAATAAAGGCAAACCTAAAATGTATTTAAATATGTACGGTTAGCATATTTATTTTACAGGTATTTTAATGTTGTTTTTTTAGCTATGGTACGGGAAAAATGCAGCAAGAGCCTTGTCAACATGGCCATCCCCCGCCGAATGTGTTTGCTCATTGGAAGAATGTATATGTAGTAGAACAGAATAATTCTATTTTAAGAGGTCTTTTGGTAATGAAAACTGATGGCTATAGTGATTACAGATTTGAAACCTATGTGAATACTGATGAATGAAAATAACAAAGGGCAATAACTGAAAAATAATGCAGGGAAGGTTATCATTTTTATGTGCTGCATCCCTCATCAGTAAAATCTATCCACCTATGAAGATTCAAGTTGATACCTCAAATACTTTTTGAGAAAAAAATTGAATTGAAAAATTAAGTATGAAAAATAACAAAGGACAATAACTCAAAAATTATAAAAGGTAGAGTTATCATTCTTGTGCAGTGCACACCTCCTGAGTGAGATCTATGCACCTATGAAGTTTCATTTTGATATCTCAAAGGCTTTTTGAGTTATGCTCTGGACAAAAATTAATTTTAAAAAATAACAAAGGGCAATAACTCAAAAATAATGCAGGGTAGAGTTATCATTCTTAAGCACTGCACTCCTCCTCAATGAGATCCATCCACCTTTGAAGTTTCAAGTTGATACCTCAAATACTTTTTGAGATAAGCTCTGGACAAAATAGCATAAAAAAACAAAGGGCAATAACTCAAAAATTGTATAGGGAAGAGTTATCATTCTTGCGCACAACATTCCTCCTCAATAAGATCTATCCACCTATGACATTTCATGTTGATATCTCAAACACTTTTTGAGTTATGCTCCACTCAGGTGAAAAATTAAGTATGAAAAATAACAAAGGACAATAACTCAAAAATTATGAAAGGTAGAGTTATCATTCATGTGCACTGCACACCTCCTGAGTGAGATCTATGCACCTATGAAGTTTCATGTTAATATCTCATAGGCTTTTGGAGTTATGCTCTGGACAAAAATCAATTTTGAAAAATAACAAAGGGCAATAACTCAAAAATCATGCAAGGTAGAGTTATCATTCATGTGCACTGCACTCCTCCTCAATGAGGTCTATCCATCTATGAAGTTTCAAGTTGATAACTCAAATACTTTTAGAGATATGCTCCGGACAAAAATGTCGGACGGAAGGACGGACGGAAGGTCGGACGGACGAACGGACGGACGGAGACTATTTCTATATCCTCCGCCGAAAATTTTCGGCGGGGGATAATAAAGCAGACCGGCTGACAAAATACTAGCAATATTTACATGTACCATCAAAAATTATTCTAGATGAAAGTTACTTGTACATTCTAAACTATCAAAGAATACAACACAACAAATACATCAATAATTTCTAGCAGTATCTAGATAATTAAAAACGTTATACATCATTGATTATAAATACAAATCCTTTAACAATGTAATCACTATGAAATGAAAACCCAATAACTATTTATCAATACATTAATAATCTCAATCCCTATTCAAATAATAACAAAAGGAGATAATCACGATCATTCGCGACATTAACCACCGAGTTTCCCTTTTGGCTGATGGGTTGTTGCCTTTACGGGTTGAGGCATCAGAATTGCAGCCAACATTCAACCCTGCCTACCTAATCTCAAGAGGCAACTAAATAGGTTCGAATTATTGGAGTCTGTGTATCTCTTAGCTCCAGCAGGTGAGATTATTTTGAATCCAGGCCTCAGGATTATAAAACTTATTCTGAGTTCCATCTCAAATCTCAGGATTTTCATTGGTCAGTGTACATTCAGTGGCAGTTTTTGATCAATCAAATAACTGAGTTTAAGCTTTTTTTAATTTCTTCATAACCATGGACCCAGGTGTTGCTTTAAGTTTGTAACACCCAAGGTTAGCCAAAATCATATTTCCTGTTGTGACGCCATTTCATACAAACAATATTGGTGGCCGTAAAACCAAACAAAACAAAATTGAGCCGCGTCATGACAAAACCAACATAGTGCGTTTGCGACCAGCATAGATCCAGACCAGCCTGTGCATCCGCGCATTCTGATCAGGAGCCATGCTGTTCGTTATCAGTTTCTCTACTTGTAATAGGGTTTGTAAGCGAATAGCATGGATCCTGATCAGACTGCGCGGATGCCTATTATTTAAACATTTTATAGGTATCAACATGAAACTTGGAATACTTGCTCATCATGACAACGTCCAGTTGATTGGCAAGGGGTCCATATTTTTATCCCCCCTTTCCTTTTACAGACAAGCGTTAACACCACATGCGGTACTCTTGTTTGTTATTTCTTATTCTTAAAATTTGATTTAAGTGGTAAAACTTTATTTAGAATTTGAGAGAATGTAGCACATTTTTTGTACAGATAGGGAAAGGGCCCCTTGCCTTAAATTTTGGGAACATAACATGGTATTTTTTCTTAAAAAGAAAGAAAAATACTTAATGTGAATTGGATTTTAGGTAAAAGTGCATGTTTTTAAAGATCTTTTTTTAATTTGGTAGAGGAGGGGCCTGTTAATTGCTCATACTATAGAAGGAAAAAAATATAGAATTTTGCACATTAGTAACGTTTTTCTTGTTGATTTTTCTTCAGTTTAAAGTGTATAAAGCTATAATTATATCTGATGCAAAAATTGTTTGAATTTTAAAAAAGTATAATTTCAATTTATTTCCGTAAAAGCGAATGGCGCATGCACAAAATCATTGCTAAACGGATCAAACCCTACTTAAAATAGCAAAACAACATTTTATTCTGTTTACGCACATTATTCATGTGTTTAAAATAACAGAGACATTCTATGTTACAACTTTTTTGGGAATCAACTATATAATAATGGAACCAATATAATTTTACAATTGATAATTTTATTGAAATATTTTCATAAGATATAGATATACCCTTTAACAAGTAATTCATTCTAATTTTAGATTGCACCATTTCGTATTAAAGGCTGTATTTTGACCGTTGTTGAGAGATTACACGAGGAAATTGTGAAGATGTTACAGGCCTGTGATGTTCATAGTACTGAATATGTTGAAAGGTAAGGTTTGATACAGTATAACTTCGGCTAAGTGGTACATACAACTGATGCTGGTTGAGTACAGTATAACTTCGGTTGAACAGAAAACCTCTTATTATGACATCCCAAAGTGAACATTCACATAAAAAAATTAACCTCTGTAGGAACAACACCTCTCCTTAGCAACCAAAATCTTTAGCTCCTATAGGGTGTTGCTCTGCAAAGGTTGTAAGGGGAGCAGTGGCCTAGTGGTTAGGGTGTCTGCCTCTCAACCCAGGGATCATGGGTTTGAGCCCTAATTTGGTCACAATCATGTTTCTTCATACAACACCAGTACTGATTGGTACCAGGACGCGAACTCAAAAGTGATTAATATAAATTGGAAGAACTTGTTTCGCAATTGAGCTTCAATAAATGTGTTTAAACCAAAGGTTCATTTTCTATGTTTCAACCTTACCAAGATCTCCTTCAGTTCAAGAATGGGGTACAGATATATCCAGTTTTATTTCTTCATTAATTGATTAACACAAGTGTTACAGAAAAATAATTTCTCTCACAGATTACGAGATGATGGGAAGGTGTGTGGTATTATAGATGATTTATTGGCGTACCTAGAGGGAAGAGCTACGTCAGAAGAGATTTGCCGGGTCTACCTGAGGAAGGTAGAAAGTACATATTACAAGGTGAGCTTTGCTGTTGTTGGTCAAGACTAAATGTATATGTCAATTTTAGAAGGCCAATAATTGGTTTTAAATATACAGTGAATATATTTAAATATACATATATAAATATCTTGAAATCCTGCAGTTATTCCAAAAATCTCAACTTCCACAAACATTTTTGCTTCCCAAATTAGCATATTTGTGATACCAAAATCAAAAGGCTAAGGCATCGTAACAATTTAGTGAGAAAAACCACTGGTTTATGATCATTAACAGTATGTATCGTTGCCAAGATGATGATATAGGAAAAAAGATTTGACGTCCATTTGAAATAATTGTGTTTCCCGTTTATAAACTAGGGTAACATTATCTTTTCAATGAAAAGTCAAAATGGAACCTGAATCTATGAAAGTAATTTGAGCCGCGTCACGACAAAACCAACAAAGTGGGTTTGCGACCAGCATGGATCCAGACCAGCCTGCGCATTCGTGCAGTCTGATCAGGATCCATGCTTTTCGCTATCAGTTTTTCTACTCGTAATAGAGTTAGTAAGCAAAAAGCATGGATCCTGATCAGACTTCGTAGATGCGCAGGCTGGTCTGGATCCATGCTGGTCGCAAACCCACTATGTTGGTTTTGTCGTGACGCGGCTCATTTGTATTAACTGGTGATGCTTTATGTAGAAGTTTTCTTATTGTTACAGATGGGAGATTGCTCTGAAGCAGATATGGAAAAGTGGTGTAAGTACATCTATACCAAGGACAGCACAGATAGATTGCGAACACGTGCCATACTGTGTCACATCTACCATCACGCCCTGCATGATCGCTGGTTCCAGGCACGTGATCTCATGCTCATGTCACATCTCCAGGATACCATTCAACATTCAGATGTTCCTACACAGGTACTTTGTCACATTATATCTTGATTTTGATGATGTTTTATGGTGATGTTTAAATTATTTACAGTCATTGAATTAAAGATTTTGAGTTTACTGGCCCGAATTCTCGGGAATTCTCAGGAATGTACCTTTGGTGGTCGCCTTAAAAAATTGTTCAAAGAATTTAATTCCATGCAGAACTCTGGTTGCAATGGCAACCAAAAAAAAAACTTTAAAAAATCTTACTTTAAAAAACCCAAAGAGCTAGAGCTTAGATATTTGGCATAAAACATTTTCTAGTTAGTCTGTTCCAAGTTTTTTCAAATAAAAGCCCTGGGGTCAAAACTGGCCCCGCCCCAGGGAGACAATGTTTTTCCACATATGTAAATATATATAACAAACGTCGAAGCATATGAAAATAGAAGGTGACTTTAAACAGAATTTGATTTAGTATCTACATTTGTTCTTCTATGAAAATTAACATTATTTTTTTAAAAGAAATACAGCATTTTCATTGGATGACAAATAAAGTTGGACACTAATAACATTCTGCATAAATTCAAATACTTGATACGACATTTGTTGAACACTTTATGATTAATCATTCTTAAAAATTATGATTACGTGTTTCTACCATTTGTATGAAAATATTATATTTTAATAATATGCATCAGAGATCTAGAAGAAAACAAAACTGTCCTCTGGATTATTTAGTCATCCAGTCAAAACTGGTACGAACAGCAACAGGTAACTCATTCCCCTGTAATTACGCATATTTTTGAGTTTATGTATTCCCTACTGCAGTATAGCTTTTTTTCACGTTATCTACTGTTCTCTACTTACCGAATGGATACGCAGTTCTTTTCTACACAGATACGCATTTCTACTACCGTAAATTTAATCCAATAAAACAAACAAACAAAATATACAATTACTTAACATTTTAAATGTTTATCGGTAACTGAAAAAAAGTGTTGCTATTTTAAGAAATGCTGTAAGTGACAGGTGTACAACTTGATTTCCCATAAGGTCACTCAAGTTTAGCAAGCTTTGGCTTATCAAGTGTAAAAAAGATGTCTATTTCGTCATCAAAATATTTGACAGGGTGATTAACCAATCAGAGAAACATTGTGCATGACTTTTTTGTTTCGTCAAGTGTCTTTGATGTATGCTTTGTACACAGAGGCATACAAGGGGCAATAAATTTCGTCAAATTATACAGTGTGATTAGGACATCTGGTGCAAAGTAGGAACAATTTAATGAATAATGCACTGTATTAGACATTAGAAGTAAGAACCAGCAATTATGTAAATGAATTGTGCCAGTCATTTAAAAAATAGTTTGCCTGCAATTAATATTAGTTAGAAAGTTACCATCTAGGCATAATTTTTGTGTCGCTTTGAAAAGGTGACATATAGGGGTTACTTTTGTCGGCGGCGTCTGTGTAGTTGTCGGCGTCGTTGTCGGCGTCCCCTAAAGCTTGTCCGGAGCATAACTCAGTCCATATAAGTCTGATTGACTTCAAACTTGGTATGCATGCTTCTTTCAATAACTTGAAGTGTAGTGCACAAGGACCGGTACTCTGCACTTCCTACTTTTTGAGTTATTGCCCTTTGTTAATTTTCATACTTTAATTTTGTCCGGGCCATTTCTCTTCAACCAAAAAAGCTATGGACTTGAAACTTCATAGGATAATAGATCTCATTAAGAAAAAGTGCAGTGCACAAGAACCGGTACTCTGCACTTCCTAATTTTTGAGCTAATGCCCTTTGTAAATTGTCATGCTTTATTTTTGTCCAGGCCATTTCTCCTAATGTATAAAAGCCATGGACTTGAAACTTCATAGGAGAAAGGTCGCATTAAGAAGAAGTGCAGTGCACAAGAACCGGTACTCTGCATTTCTTATTTTTTGAGTTATAGCCCTTTGTTTATTTTCATACTTTAATTTTGTCCGGGCCATTTCTCCTTAAGTATATAAGCTATGGACTTGAAACTTCATAGGATAATAGATTGCATTAAGAAAAAGTGCAGTGCTCAGGAATAGGTACTCGGCATTTCTTAATTTTTGAGTTATGGCCCTTTGTTAATTTTCATACTTAATTTTTGTCCAGGCCATTTCTCCGAAAGTATAAAAGTTATGGGCATAGGATGATAGATCTCATTAAGAAAAAGTGCAGTGCATAAGAACTGATACTCTGCATTTCTTATTTTTTTAGTTATTGCCCTTTGTTGATTTTCTTACTTTATTTTTGTCCTGGTCATTTCTCCTCAAGTATGAAAGCTATGGACTTGAAACATCATAGAATTATAGATCTTATTGATAAGAAGTGCAGTGCACAGAAACTGCTGCTCTGCACTTATTATTATGCCCCCACTTCGAAGAAGAGGGGGTATATTGCTTTGCACTTGTCGGTCCGTCGGTCCGTTGGTCCGTCGGTCCGTAGACCAAATGGTTTCCGAGTGATAACTAAAGAACCCTTAGGCCTAAGAACTTCAAACGTGGTATGGTGATTGGACATGATCACTAGATGACCCCTATTGATTTTGGGGTCAAGGGGTCAAAGGTCAAGGTCACATTGACCTTGTAAGCAAAAACGGTTTCCGATCAATAACTAAAGAACCCTTAGGCCTAGGAACTTCAAACTTGGTATGGTGATTGGTCATGATCAGCAGATGACCCCTATTGATTTTGGGGTCAAGCGCTCAAAGGTCAATGTTACATTGACCTTGTAGGTAAAAACGATTTCCGATCAATAACTTAAGAACCCTTAGGCCTAGGAACTTCAAACTTGGTATGGTGATTGGTCATGACCAGCAGATGACCCCTATTGATTTTGGGGTCAAGGGGTCAAAGGTCAAGGTCACATTGACCTTGTAGGTAAAAACGATTTCCGATCAATAACTTAAGAACCCTTAGGCCTAGAAACTTCAAATTTGGTATGATGATTGGTCATTGCCAGCAGATGACCTATTGATTTTGGGTTCAAAGGGTCAACAACTTGGCTGTCATTAATAAGGCCTACATGATTCAAAAAATTTATGCATATATTATTTGGTAAGATTTGTAATAACTTAAATTGCTGCACACAAATTATAGGGTCACAATAATTATTACCTTGTGACTAGTCATGACCATTAGATACTAGATAACCCTTATTAATTGTTTGTTTACTGGGTCAGAAGTCAAGCATAATAACCTGATCACATGACTAATTGGCTTCCGACAGGGGGCATACATGTTTTACAAACATATCTTGTTTTTTTAGTTATTGCCCTTTGTTATTTTCATAATTCATTTTTGTTCTGGCCATTTCTCCTAAACTACATTGTTCACAAGGCGACACATCCGACTCGCGGAGTTCTAGTTAATTATAAGTACTGAATCATAAGTGAACCACTTGTCATAAAATATGATTTAAGTTTTATTACCAGGGAAATTGAATTATCCACACACTTTTTAACAGTCTGACATTTAGGTCAAATTTTACTTGTTTTCCCAAGCCCCAGCATAATTTTTAATTATAAGTACTGAATCATAAGTGAACCACTTGTCATAAAATATGATTTAAGTTTTATTACCAGGGAAATTGAATTATCTACAAACTTTTTAACAGTCATTTAGGTCAATGTTTACTTATTTTCCCAAGGCCCATACTTTGGTCAAAATGGCTCATCATTTTCAGACCAAGTGGGGCCCAGTACTTTCAAATTCTTGGCAGATATCTGGCATGTCGTTGCTGATATCAACATCATGGTGAGCTCTAGAAAAAAGCGTTCTCCGGTGTTAATTTTCTGTTAATTTTCCTGCTGATTTCATGGTATCATTGATATGTTGATGTCAAATATTTTATTTCATAAACAATAATATTTTGGTTTTCTCAATTTTATCTTAATACATTCTGAGTAAAAGGGATATGGAATATAATTGATATCACAAAGAAGCTTGATATTTACTTTCGTTGATAATAAAACAAAACAAAATAAGATTCCTACAGAAATAATGAATACATAATGAATAAAGCTGCTCAAATGCTTTAAAAGTATCGAGTATCGGTATCAATAAAATACCATATCGTTTCACAAGTATCGGTATCGTATCATATCGTTTCGTTCTTAACGATATCCAACCTTTCTTGTGACAGCTCTTGTTTTAGGTACAGTCATGTTACAATATAGAATGTATATAAACAAACATCTACACCTAACACATTTTGCATGTGACATTTTATGTATTCACATAAAAAAGTTATGAAAAAATTGTCCCATCAAAATTAACCCTAAGCTCTAGTGGTCATTTATTCTGCATTTATTCTACATTTTCTCATTGGAACATACTTTCAACATAGATATTATTAACAAAGCCTTTTAATAATCATATTAGAACAAAATATTTCAATTTATATAGTGAACAATAAAATGATGGGTCAGATGAGTGACCTAGGGCCATCTTGGCCCTATTGTTTATTATGAAGAAGGAAAAAAAACAATCAGTGTTGTGAAAGTTTATTACAAGAGGGGCAAGGTAAAGTTGAGGTGGACTTGCCTTTGGGCAAGTTCATTTGAAAATAATTTCTAACACTAAAAACAGTTGTTTCTGGTGAGCGACTAAGGACCCTCTTGTTATATATTTATTTTTCTTTTGAAAAATGAAAGACAACACTGTAATCGGACCAGGGAAAAGGAAGAACACAGTATCATAAATGGAAAAAAGTTCCTCTCTCAAACCCTGGATTTATTTTGTAAAAAAAATACTTTAGTGCACATATATATAGACCAACAAAAAACAAATGATATTGAATACCATTATAATGTTGCTAAGTTTTAAGTGAGTTCTTGGTATCTTGAATGATGGTTATCTTGAATACTAGTTATCTTGAATGCTAGTTATCTTGAATACTGGTGATCTTGAATTCCTCTGGTGATCTTGAATTCTACTGGTGATCTTGAATTCTACTGGTAATCTTGAATGCTGCTGGTGATCTTGATTAGGGTTGCATGATCTGATGTACTTAATGGTAGTATCTTGTCTATCTTTGACTGCATCAATTGTCATTTCTTGGTTCTACACCATTTTATACTCTTTTATATCATTGTTCCTCTCTTCAGATAAACCTGTGTATGTACTTAAATAAAGTGTACTTGTCTCAGCACACCAACATATAGCTTGAGGAAACTCCACTTTTTTCAGTATAGTTGTCCAGTCTTTACAGTCACTACTAACTCTATATATACATTTACCCAAGTAATCACTCACAAAGAAGGACCCGTTATCTAACAGTGAAATACCCCTTGGACATTCATTATCTACATTCCTTCCTATCATCTCTCCCTGCCAATTAAACCATATAACTTCATGTTTGAAGTAATCAGATACATAGATTGAATGACTGTTTGTGGTGACATACCAAAGGCTATTGAAAATATTGTCACCATTGGAATCTTTCTCAACTTTAATTTTCATATTACCTTTCAAGTCCATGATTTGGAGTTTGGGAGGAAGTGAAAATGTAAGTGCTAGTTTCCCCTGATGATGGCTTATTCCAAAGCATCCATCTACTTTCAGTTTGTTTTTCAATGAGAGAGAGTTTGAGGAGAAGGAAAGGAACTGTATTGTGTTAGTGTATAGTAATGTCACAGCAAGTGTATCATTGGTCACTATGGTGATATCCCAGGGGTTTGATTCAAGCTGTAGTTGTTTGATTTCTTCACTGTTTATGTCCATCATTTTAATTGATTTATTTTTGTAATCTGCTACAAATAATTGATTTTGAAGAGAGACAGTTATACCAGTAATCCAGCAATCCTCTGTATCTGAGGATGTTTTAACATTGATGTTTCCAGAGGTAGTCATTTTCATTGGTACTGCAGCCTTATTCTTTGGTTGAGCTGGTTGCTTTATTCCCTTTTTTCTTAACGATCCTAATGATTTCTCATTCTGAAGGAGCTTTTTGATAGTATGATTGGATTCAAAAGTATATTCATCAACATCATTGGTTGTTGGTAGTTTTTTTGCTATATTTTCGTTGTGTAATATCTGTTGCTGAGCCGATTTCAATTCAGTAAACAGTTGGTCAGTTTTCTTGTTGGTGTTGAGATGTTTTAGAGTATCAGCTGATGCTTGGAGTGATCTGTTGATGTTATCACATGTTGTTTCTGTTGTTTTCAACTTTTTGTTGTTGTCATGTTGAATTGTTGTTGCAGTATCTTTAACCTCCATTTCTAGTTCATCTAATCTCTTGTTTATCTCTGTCCTGAAGTTGTCTATCTCTGCTATAGCATCTTTCAGAGAAGTTGTTGATTTAGCAACTCTTTGTTTCATATCTTTTGTAATCTGGCAGCATTCCTCTGTTAATTTGTGAATATCTTTAAGAGTTTCTTTGAACTCAGTGCTGTCTAAAATCTGTCCTGATATATCAGGTATGTAGTCCACATTGCAGGATGTCGTTGGGTGTTCAAGGGTCACACATACACTACATATAAGTGTATTATGGTCATGACAGTAGAACTTGATCACTTCTTTGGTATGTTTGGTACAAGGCTTTGATAAATCACCATCCTGTGCGCCTGAAGTAGATTTTAATGACTTACTGAGGTTTTGTTTTTGTGGCATGTGATCTTTATCTAGAAGTTGGTGATGGCGTAGTGGTTTTGGTCGCCTGTGAGTGTTATAGCAAGTTTGACATAAATGTACCTCACAATCGACACAGTAACCAAAGGCAGGTAGTCTGATGTCATCTCTGTCACATTGATTACAGAATATGTCAAAATCTTCAGCACCACCTTGAGATAGTATAGATGAGACTTTTTGAGATGACTTTTTACCAGGTACAGCCATAATATTGCCTAAAATAGAAATAAATAGATACTTGAAGGGGATTTTTGTACATGACTGAATATTTTTTAAACTAAGGATATCAAACTAAAAAAACGAACCATTAGTATATCAAAATCTGCTGAATTTCTCAAATTGGCACGTCTTATTAATAGCCTTCATTTTCAGAATTGTCCATTATTAAACTTTGGGATATTAAGATTTTAAGTCAGTTTTAGCCCAGTAGTAAAAGCTTATCACTTTAAGCTCTGGTAAAATTGGACCATTTTAAGGGTATCTGTGACTTTTAAAGGATAGACACATCGCTGTTGACACACCAAACCCAACAAAAATAAAAAAAATCCAGTTTGAGTTGTGGGTGGGGTACAGGAATTGTCTCTCAAGGTTATTCATGTTAAATCATTTTAGATTGATATATGAAAGTATATAGTAAACTATTAAAGTTTTCAACAAATTGATTGGTACATTAAAAAATATAGAAAACTTTATTTAAGTTTTAAACATAGATATTGAGTAAATTTACTCACCAGTGACTTATATTCCTCATTAGGATATTGAAAAAAGTTGTCTTCTTAAGTTATTGATCCGACAAGTCAGTGCCCGTCTACTCAATGGTATGTTAACTTGTAGTGAAAATAAATTTATAAAATGATATCACGTTACACCCACAATAGATATTCAATACATTACATTTAAAGCAGTAGTTTAGGGCTACTACCTTCTACCTTTGTTTGGTATTGATTATTTAAACATATGAATAAAAATGCCTGCTTGAAAGAAAATCAATTTAAAATTTATTGCATACTAACAGTCAATTAGAATAAAAAAAACCCAGTGATCTAGCTGGTTTAAAATATAATTTATGTAGCTCTTTGTTTGTTTTACAAAATGATTTCTGTCATAGATATAATCAAAGTGGAAATATCACCATATGTTTGTATAGTATAAATGGGACAATTTTAAATGACATTTTAAAGACTGGTTATCTTGATTTTGTGTATTTTGCTATTTTGGTTGTCATCAAGGTAGTAAGATACATAAAAGAAAAAAGTAAATAATTTTATAGCTCACAATGTAAAAGTAACAGTCTAAAACATTAGTTGTTTTCTTAATATGTCTCATTTGATTTACAAAAGTTGTTGACGTACATTCCATTGGTATGCATAGTGACAGTTATCCTGATAGATATAAAACTAAAACAGTTGTGAATTATTCCTGAATTGGAAAGTATAAGATTCCCCTTTTAACTTTCTGATTGGAAAATGTCCTATTAATTTTGGGAAATAAATTTTTTAGCCCATCTGAGCTAGCTCGGTGAGCTTTTAGGGTCGTCCGTCCACATTTGTTTGTTAACACTCTAGCCATCACATTTTTGCCTTGATCATTATCAAACTGGGTTAGGATGCTTGTCTAGGTAATTTCTCGGATGAGTTCGAATATGGGTCATCTCGGATGAAAAACTAGGTCACAGGAGCTAAAAATAGAAAAATCTTGTTAACACTGCTGGCCACATTTTTGCTTCAATCAACACCAAACTTGGTCAGGATGCTTGTCTAGATAATTGCTCAGATAAGTACGAACATGGGTCATCTCGGATGAAAAACTAGGTCACAGGAGCTAAAAAAAATTCTTGTTAACACTCTAGTGGCTTCTGTTTTGATCCAAATATCCTGGAAATTGATCTGAAAGTATTTTGATGATTTCTAGGTCAAGTTTAAATATAGGTCACATGGGGTCAAAAACTAGGTCACACTGCTTGGATATTGGGCCCTAGTGGTCACATTGTTTAATCAGTTTGATAGGTCAGCTGTGCGATCTAGGGCCATCTTGGCCTGGCCCTCTTTTAAATTAAATAGAGGATATTTGTTTAGTTCAGTGTAAGATGGGACTATATTTTAACGAGTGAGCACCAAAAGGTATATTTCACAAGTGGCATTGCCACAAGTGTGATATTAACTTTTGGTATTCATTTCGATCTTACACTTAACTAAACAAAATTTCTTTTTATATATGCAAAGAAACGGTTAAAAAGACAGTTTAACCTCATACTACACGAAAAGCATGCCAAATAATAATCATCGTGACGTCATATACCAGGTCAAGTCATTAACTTGGTTCCCAGTACAGTGCACGCTGGTATGTCACTGAAACAAAATAACAGGCTTAAATCTAAATCAGTGAAAATATCAAATTGAGTCAGATTTATAACCGCTTTTGTGATCGATGGGTTAGAGTCGATGACTTCTAATCCAGTTACCTCTCTGACGTGGGTTAATAGATCTCCGGGAGATGCTTTGGTAGTTTAGCATGGTAGAAGGTAATCTAGTACTGGTGTAACCCTCCAAGTACTGGTGTAAATCTCCAGGAACGATGGTTAGGAAACTACCCGCCTATATGACTGAAATATTGTTGGGAAAAGGCGTAAGATGAAACAAACAAAAAGTCAGAGTTATATTTCACTTTTATATAATACCACCAAAAGCATGTAATAAATGCCTTTATTACACTACTGCGCCATGATTTATGTCATGAAGTCATTTATGAAATCCTTTCATTAGTTTTGTCAGTATTTGATATGAGATTACAATTTATATTTTCAGATCCTATATAATCGTACAATGGTACAGTTAGGTCTATGTTCATTCAGACAAGGGATGACCAAGGATGCTCATAATGCACTGGTAGATATCCAAAGTGGAGGTCGAGCTAAGGAACTACTCGCACAGGTAAATGTCACAAAAAATCGGGAAAATTAAGATTATATACTGAAAAACTTGAAATTTCCCTTGAAAGAAAAATAAACTTGACTCGATCAATTTTAAAGCAGGCTGAAAAAGATGGCAACCAGAGCTGAATGTAAATATAAACTTTTAAGGAAGTCTCCCCTAAAAATTGTTATTGGCTAATTTTGATGAAACTCAGTAGGATGTTCAAAGCTTGTACTCTTAAACAGAAAAATTATATTGAAATATTCTCCATAATCAGTGTTATGATTATGCAAGTTAAGTGAAGTACAGAAATTATGCATAAATCAGCAAGGATTTTTTTTGGCTTATTTTATAGCAGGTCATATTCCCAATTTAAAAAAGTATATTATTTTTCCCAATCCACAAAAAATATATTGAATAATAAATTCTAAAATCTTTGAAAAAAAGGGTTTCTTCAATGTTATGGTGCTTAAATGTTTGAAGCTGCTATCCTAGACAGTGATTCTTTGCATTCATTTAATCACTGCAAAATTTACATCATGAATATTTTCCCAATTTTTAAGAAAACACCGCTGAAATTCCCAATTCCATGGGCATGGGTCATATTCCCAAAATCCTGGAAAAAAACCTCGATCATCTACAGATATCTTAATTTTTAGCATGTCTGTTCCAAAGAAAAAGCCGAGCTTTTATGATTGCTGTCTTGTCCTTGTACAAAAACTTTTAATGCAGCCCATTATTCAAAGATGTCAAAAGCTACCACCATGCTTATCATGAAAGGGTATAGTTGTTAAAGGGCACAATGCTGGTAGAAAGCAATATAATTAGAGTTGTGCCCCTTAGAACTAAGAATTTTTAACAGATGGCTGTTAACACCACATGTGTTGCTCTTGTATTGATTTGCAATAAAACAAAAGAATCTAAATCTTGGGAAGTATGTTCTGATCGGGGGGGACTAAGAAAGTGTCATTTTCTTTCATATCTGTTTATAAAGCTTAATATGTTTATATTAAAACATTACCTGATAGAGCCTGACTTTTGATATAATTTATTTATTTTTGTAGGGTCTGCTACTACAGCGCCAGCACGAGCGTACCCCCGAACAGGAAAAGATAGAGAAAAGACGTTTACTACCATACCATATGCACATTAATCTAGAGCTGCTAGAGTGTGTGTATCTTGTATCTGCCATGTTGATGGAAATACCTTATATGGCAGGTCAGTGGTTTTATACGATTGTTGTTATAAAATAACGAGCTGAATATCTAACATCTTGATCTTCTGCATGAAAAATTGATTAGCCTTAGCCACCTGTATAAAGCCTGGCAATACTGTGGCAGCATGGCCTAGTGGTTAACCGGTCAGACTAGTAATCTTAGGATTGCTGGCCGCAAACCCCTTCACAGACAAGCCGTTGTTTCCTTAAGCAAGAAACTTTGTGTTCTTTGCTTAGTACTTGTTATTTCCGTGAACGGATTTGAGAGTGTTTCATAAAGCTTATAGCTTCCAACACAATCAAACTAAAATCAATTTGTAGAAACAATAAACTTATACTGTGCAGTCTGATCAGGCTCTTTGCTGTTGGCTGATTCACATTAAGTTTTCATCTTGATGATATAAGACTGGTCGAGAAACAGAAGTTGGCAAGTACATTTCAGAAATTCATCAATTTATTGGTTAATCATACTTCCAAGTGTCATTTATCATTTAAAATATTCCTCCTATTACAGCCCACGAGATGGATGCTAGACGTAGAATGATAAGTAAGAATTTCCATCACGTGTTACGTATGAGCGAGCGTCAGACACTGACCGGTCCACCAGAGAGCATGAGAGAGCATATTGTAGCCGCGTCTAAAGCCATGAAGACTGGTGACTGGAAAGCTTGTAAAAACTTTATCATCAATGATAAAATGAATTCCAAGGTAACCGAAGTTTCACTGAACAGTTATGTTTGCATAATCAATATGCAGCACGATGCTGTAAAGCCATATTCATTTTTTAGCTCGACTATTCGATAAGAATAAGTAGAGCTATTGCAGTCACCCGAGCGTCGGCGTCCGCGTCGGCGTCGGCGTAACCACTTATGTTAAAGTTTTTGTAATAGTTCAAATATTTTCAAAGTCCATTGACATATGGCTTTGAAACTTTGCACACTTGTTCACCATCATGACCCCAACCTGTAGACAGGAGGAGGTAACTGTATCAAACATTTTGACAGAATTATGCTCCTTTTTCGACTTAGAATTTACGTTAAAGTTTTTGTAATAGTTAAAATATTTTCAAAGTCCATTGACATATGGCTTTGCAACTTTGCACACTTGTTCACCATCATGACCCCAACCTGTAGGCAGGAGGAGGTAACTGTATCAAGCATTTTGACAGAATTATGCCCCTTTTTCGACTTAGAATTTACGTTAAGGTTTTTGTAATAGTTAAAATATTTTCAAAGTCCATTGACATATGGCTTTGAAACTTTGCACACTTGTTCACCATCATGACCCCAACCTGTAGACAGGAAGAGGTAACTCTATCAAGCATTTTGACAGAATTATGCCTCTTTTTCGACTAAGAATTTACGTTAAAGTTTTTGTAATAGTTCAAATATTTTCAAAGTCCATTGACATATGGCTTTGAAACTTTGCACACTTGTTCACCATCATGACCCCAACCTGTAAAGAGGAGGAGGTAACTGTATCAAGCATTTCTTTTACTTTCAAGCACTAAGAATAGTCGAGCATTGCTGTCCTACCGACAGCTCTTGTTGTCAAATAAAGGAACTTGAGCCTTATTATGAATTTGTCAAAAGGGTTTTGACGGGTGATATGACCCTGTAGCCACAGTTGCTTGCAAAACAAACCTTGCCTAATATAATTGCATGGGTTATATAACCTGTCAAAACTTTTATATAAATATGTAATATGATAAGATGTTTGGAAAAGATATAAAGGCGTGAAAACGAATATTTTGAATTTCAAGTTTTAAAGTCACATAGTATGATTTGTGCTAAAACTCTGTATTTATTGATGAACAAAATAAAAAAACAACATGTAAGTGTATCTATATCTATGTTTTTGTTGATAAATAAATCAGGGGTAAACATGTGGCTGAATAGATTTAATTAAAAAAAAACATTCTTTATTTATTAGAAAATAATGCATGAATAAAAAAAGTATTTACATGTACTAATAATTATCAAAGTGATTTGCATTCATACTCTAAGGTACGAGGCCTATGTAAAAAGTCAGTTGTCCCATATGTAACAGTTTTAATCACATGATGTGAAAATATATGACCATTGATTACAGTTGAAAAAATTTGCTAGTGTTTCATTATTAAATTGCTTTAATTTTGTGTGTCTATGTAGGTGTGGGATTTGTTCCAAAACAAGGATGAAGTACGGGACATGATTGTATGTAAGATACAGGAGGAGAGTTTAAGGACGTATTTGTTCACGTACAGCAGTGTATACGATACCCTCAGTCTGGTCACCCTCGCTGAAATGTTTGAACTAGACGTTTATAAAGTGCACTCCATCATTAGTAAAATGATCATCAATGAAGAATTAATGGTAAGTAGTGTAGTGTTTATACATCCCTGTTAAAAGGATTCAAGACCCATTGTGGCTGAGGGGTTGTTTTTTAAGGGCTGAGGCATCAGAATTGACAGCCACTGTTTCTGGTGGCAATTTATCACATATTCAATATAACAAAGGTTGAACGTTTAAAAAGAGGCATTATGCATTGACGCCTATAGTGTAATGATAACATTAGCGTGCTTTAACGCTATGTTTGTATATAATGCAAACAACGTAAGAGCATGAAAATGAAAAGATACTACCATTCATAATTCTATAAAGATGGTATAATGCATTATTAATTAATTTCAGGCATCTCTGGACGAGCCGACCCAAACGGTGATCATGCACCGGACTGAACCAACACGTCTACAAGCACTTGCTCTGCAACTGTCAGAGAAGGTCGGAACACTCGTGGAAAACAATGAAAGAATACTGGAAATAAAACAAGGGAACTTTTTCTTTAATAAAAATCCTAGTAAGTAAACATTTAAAATTTAGCGTTATAGTGTTTTTCAGAAGTGGATAATTACTACTATTAGCTTGGTTTTGATTTCTATTAGCTAACATGGATTCTTTTTTCTTTAAATTCTTAGTCACTTTTAGCTTTAATTTATTAAAACAGCTGATTCAATGTATGTTTTTTAGGGGGTTGCAAAAATGAAAATGAGGATCTGTGGTGTTTTTAAAATGGGGGGAGGGGGTGGAAACCCATACTACAAAATCTTGATTATTCGTTGGGCACTTAATTCTGTGGTTTTTATGGATATGTTAATTCATGAATATAAGATCCAAAAATATTTAATTTTGTCTGCTGTAAGATTATTTTGCATCACAAAATTTACATTTTATTGTTTGGAAAAATGAATAGTCCACAAATTAAAAAACCCACATTAATGTTTTGTGACAAAACCACTCAATTACATACCTATGAAATTAAGTGAATTCACAGTGTAATATTCATTTATTAAAAAAACACACTTACCATACAATAGGATCAGCTGCAGTAGGGTAGATTAGCAAAAATTCACCTTATTTGTACACTTATCTTTCCATATTTTATAACATCTTCAATGTTAGTTGTGTTTATAACAACAATCTTTCTTCTGAGAGCAATTTTCATTAGAAATCTGTTACACAAAAGATGGTTGGTTGACAGTTGATGATGAATCTAAGTTGGGAGTTTTTTAAATTTGATATTATTTTTTGCTCTATACATGTATATAGCAGCAACACCTTCAGCATGACTAACACTGGATGGTGAGACTTTAAAACTAATACTCATCTCTTTAATATAATTATCCGTCGTTTTATTTACCAGTGAAAGGGCTAATAAAATTGTGGTGACTGGAGAAGGTGATAGTTTGCTTAATATTGACATAATGTTTTGTTATGAAAGCTCTAACTTCTTTACCTGTAGAGTGATTAATATAAGTCCGCTTGACTTTCAGGGCTGGCAAAATTGATTGTCCGTATTGCCCCGGTTGTCCCCCGGCCTGTACGGATAAGTGGACATTTTCAAGAATTTACTTTATCAATATCGTACGGATGAGTTAATAAATGATTCTGATAAAAACGAACAATTAAATTAAAACCAGATTTTGCCGGCCCTGACTTTAAATCAGTCTTCTCTGCGGGTTCAAATCCAGACTTAAAATTCTTTGTCAGGAAGCTATCCAACCGGCTAATGGTAGATTGATGGTTCTGGTCGGTTGCCGGCTCGTGCCAGATATAAAGTATAGAGGCACCTAATGTGTTCCTCGATATGTAGTCTAATGAAGCTGGAAAGTCCCTATGTGTCCTTGACATTGTCAGAGAAATGGAGCTTTTCATAAGAGACATTCTGTCTTTGTTATTATTTTTCTTACCTTTTTTTCCAAACTTTTGAAGATTTATTTTAAGGTTCTTGGTTAAAGTTTACTGTTGAACCCAAAACTCATGATTCTATGGATGCTTGTTTATAACAGAGTTGTTGTATTGACTTCAACTTGTTTGCTGCATTGTTTACAATTGTTATGTCATTGAATGTTTAAGTTACTGTTATGAAATGTTGCCCAGGTTGGTCTGACCCTGTGTTTATAATAGATTTGGGTTACGGGTGTAATTTAAATGAAATATAAACAAGTGTATGTTTGAAAATTTCATGGTTTCCAGGGGTGAAAAAGTCTCCTCCCTATACATGTATTTTCTGATGCAGTAATGTAATGGTGGTAGTTTTACAATTTGTAAATATGAGGAAATGAAATGTATCTAAAAAAAACGAAATGTTAATTGTAAAAAATAAATTTAAAGTTTATTTTAAGACTCCTTAAGAAACAAAGTTTTTGTCTGACTACCATCCGAGCTTTTTTCTTATGACCAAAATGCATTCAAAACTTGATTCTTGATTCACAACAATATTATTTTATCATTTGATAACAAAAAAGCTGTTTCAACTATTACTGGTTTTATAAATGTAAAATGCTAAAAAGTACGACATACTTTGATTTACATGAACTTATCAGAATATTTATGTATTTCTGTATTTCTGTAAATCAATTTTGTTCTTAGGGTTTCAACGTCCACCTTAATGAATCTTATATTGGACTTGGCTAAACTAATAAAAAAAGTCAATTGTAACATGATTATATTATCTAAAATAAGTGGGTAATTGGCCCGGTCAGACAACATGGATGTTAAGGCTGTGAGTGTAGTACTTACACTTGAAAGATATAATCTAGTCAATTTACAGGGCTGCATTTCATAGAAAGTTTTAAGTTGTATCTTAAGTCCTAGGACATAGAACCAACTTGAGGACTAATTTACGATCGTTTCAATAAATGTTTTTACCTTCAGCCAAAGACTAAGATTACAATTAAAGTCTTTTTCTGGAGAAAAGTTAAGAAATACAATGAGGTTATTACTCATTTGTATTACAATTCAATAATTAAAGGAATCCTAAAGTAGGAGTCGTAAGTTAAAACGTTTTCTTTGAAACAGAAAATTATTTCAGGTTTTGGTCTTAAGACTGATTTTCAGACGAACGACTTTTCTATGAAACGCAGCCCTAGGTTATTAGATTGCAGCAAGGTGTGAGCAAATTCTTTAATGCGCAGTTCTCCCTGCATTCCTGAAGGGATTTCAAAATAGCTGTCACATAGTTTCATAGTCATTTGTATTAAGACTAATTACCACTAATCATATTGCCTTTATTGTTACAGATCAACAGAACCGAGAGCAATCTGGTGGCGGCTATCAACAGAACCAACAAAATTGGAATAAATATAAGAATCAAAACCAGACTGGCAGTAAGTGTACACATTTGTTCAAGGTTATTGGGGGGGGGGGTCATTGTTCATGTGTATGATATTAGATATTAGTAATGCTTATAAGAGGCCAAGTTTCAGATGTACAAAGTCTGGAATGGCTCTCTGACTGTATAACCTTAAGGATACTTTCTTTATAAATGATACCGGTATCACTTCGCAGTTGTTGGAACACTACTTGGGAAAAGCATTCAGATTCATGGTTTTGTACATTGCTTTTATTGAGTAACTAGCTACAGTGTGTTTCCTATTGATACAGAACATTCTCTGTAAAGCAACACCCTTTGCTAGGCAAACATTTTTGTTGTGACTGAGAAGTGTTGCTTTAGAAAACTCTAATTCATTTCGTAGTGTTAATTTGGGAAAGATCAATAATGTTGTTGTATAGAGGTGATTGCTTTACCAAGGGTTGTTTTGCGGAGGTTGTACATGTATATTATATGACCAAAAAAACAACACTTATTGTTATGAATAGTGCTATTTAGATGTTGGTTTAGAAAACTTTGAGTCTAATAAAGCTAAGTTGTTAACTGAAGTATATGTAAAGCAATAAGATAAAAGTGGTTAAGATAACATTGAACATTCAGCTAGCTTATGGACCTTCAGTGGTATTACACAGGTGCTCGTTTGTGCATGAAATAATGGGCAAAAGGGCACCTGAGGTCTTCCTTCACCAGTAGAGCTGGAAAGTCGCCATATGACCTATACTGTGTTGGTGTGACGTAAAACCCAACCCAAAAAAACACCTTTGTTTCAAGTTTATGGCAGTAAACTCTGAAAGTTGACCTGTAAATCATTTCCATTGGTAAATCTAGAAAATGTTGTCAAAATCTGTCCAATCCCATGCCTTGTTTGTAAAGAAGGATGTAATTTTATGTTTGACTGTAAATATTTTAGATTGTAAATACATAGGTCTTCTATTAATAGAAAAATTTGTAAATGGCTATTAGAATTGAACAGTGTTGAGGCATGATACTATAATTTTGCTCAAGTTTGATTGAATGTTGGTTTTATATTCTAACATAGATTATAAAAACATACATTACTCATGCATGTATTTTGCTAGCAACTAAGTATCGATGTTTCTCATTTTCAATGGAATGGGTCGGAATGAAATCTTGGATTTGTTTTCAAATTTTCATTTTGTCTTAAATTGGAATATGCATTTGCCTTTTCTCAAGTTTACTTTTTGTCATATTTTGGAAATATTTTTGTTTTTAAAACTTTAAACAAAATGTGTAATTTTTTCAATTTTAGAAAATCGAGATTACAATCATCAGCAACAAGGATGGAGTAGGTGTTATTAAAATATATTTATAACCTACCCCATTATGGAACTATTATAATTATTTGATGTCGTAGTTACTTCCCATCTGTTGTTATGTAAAAAACAGTTATAAGATAGTTGTTGTCATGGTCAAAAGTGAATGTAGTAAAGTAAAAGTGATCAGACTATACAGATAGCTGGCCCTAACTTAACAGTCCAATTCTGTTTGGACAGTTGGCCTTACAAGTCAGTCCAATTTGGACAAGCCATAGTATGGCTTTTCTTTCTTCTATAACAGGGGCTGTTTAAGGGTGGCTTCCTTCCCCAAAGAAAAAAAATTAAAAATCATTCAGGTTTTTCTTCTCCTTTCGCAAATATACCGTATAATTTTCCCCCTAAAATTAAGGGCAGGTTGCTTCCCCAATCTGTGAAATCTGCATAGCCCTCTGAATGTTTAGTAATGGTTTTGCTCTGCTTTGATTTTAGAGCAGTTCATTTCAGTTTTAAGGGGACTTCAGTATCCCCCATAGATATTAAATTGAGCTACAAAACAGTGTAAAGCTTGGTCAGAATGCACATATGCGCTGGCCTGGCTCTTTTTTCCGGCAAAGTGTAATCATTTTCAGTTCGAGTAGGTTAAGGTCATTCGCGTTATTAATAGAATTTGGTTCTTGTTAAGAATTAAGGAATACTTGTTCAGTAACTACATTTTGAGTTTGTCTAGAATACAAAATAAGTTCTGAAGTGAATATGTACATTCATTAATAAAGTGTAGATGTGGCAAGAAATATTTCAGTATTTGTTCAACCCATGTTTATAAAAATCTTAAATGCATGTTCTAAAGAAACTGTTATACCAAAATCATGATGTTTTGTAATAAACTTTTTAAAGTAGAAATGCAATTTCTAAAGTCCTGTTTTATTAGATTGGTTTGCATTATGTAGTTTGCAAAAACATGGTTAAAATCAATCACTGCATAATCATTATTATTTGTGGGGAACTTCTTTTTGTGGTTTTCATGTATAGGTCAATCCACAAGTTAAAGATCCAATGAAATTTCATTTCATCTGCTGTTAGATTATTTTGCATCACATTATATACATTTTACTTGTTGGGGGAAAAAGCAGTCCATTAATACCTACGAAAATGTTCTTAGTGACAAAACCATGAAATTTCATGACCACAAAATGAAGTGAATTCAAAATAAGAGTTTATAATTTGAATGGGAATACTTAGAGACAGGGATTTTGTTGTAAACAAATGCTTCGTAGAGTTAGACTAGATAGATAAGTTAGCTAAAGAAATACTTTATTGATTTTTTTCATCAACTACATAATGTATTCTCAAGTGTTTTAAAGTTTTAGTAATCATTCCTTGAATTTAAATTGATGTTAATTGGGGGTGGAGGGATGTAGTTGAATTACACGTTAAAACTACGGCTGGAAAAGATAGTATTCAGGCTAAAATAAGTATTATTCCATGCAAAACTTTTTATTATCATCTTACTAATAACTTGTTATTAACAATACACTAAATTATTGGTTATTGGTAGTACAAAATAATACCAGTTCAAAGTAATCCAGTATAAGAGTTTTTAGAGAAATATCTGTGGGCGAAATTAGGCAGAAATGAATTTTGGTTATGTAATGATATGGGGAAGTTATAGCTTGTGAAAAAGAAAGTGTTTTGATAAGTTTGTTTTGTAAATTACAATATGCATGCTATGTTTTTTTCTGGTAACCTGAATTTAGGGTTTGATTTGTCTAATTCATCCAACAAAATCATTTTGTCTCAGAATATTTGTTCAAATTGTAAACTTTAGCAGATTGACAAATTCAAAAGTCCATCCATCAATATTTTGTTTTGTTTGCATCATGCAGATGTGTTAGAAAAGAAAAAATCTTAATTTATATCTAATGTGTTGTGGTAAACTATTGCATACTTTCAATATGTCTAAGGAAGTTTTTTTCCACAAGTATAGCTGGGAAATTGCCATATATCATTGCAACAGTGTATAGCTTAAAACATAACAAAAATGTTTACAAACAGGAAAGTATACATTTATATATTTTTTATTTTTTCAGATAGAAGACCCCAAAGAAATCAACAACAACAAAGAGCATACTAAACTACAACTAAGATACATTGTTACCCCTATAGTACTACTGCGAGTTGTTGACAGTATTACTGTTTACAGTTTGTGACATCACATCCGAGCTACAGTGCTTCATTGGGAATATCAAATAATAAAGTCCTGTATACATAGTGAAATATATAACAAAATATTGGCCTTTTGTTGGATTTTGAAATAGTCCAATATTTGATTTGATTAACATTTGTCCGACGTTTTTTGCTTTTTGTGCGCTTATTTTGAAAACTGATATTTATAGCAGATGAAATGTTTTTTGAGATAACTAGATGTACGTGTTTAAAAGTGAATGAATTTGAGTTTTGGAGTATTTATTTAGTACCAAGCCAAATAAGTTATGATAATGTATTGATAAATGGATGCAGTTTACTGACGAAAATTGCCAGATTGAGCCAGTCTTGTAGTTTTTGTTTAAAATTGTTGTTTCAGTGTTCATGTTTTTTCTCGTGTATAATAAATATCATCATGACTAATCTTGTAACTGAGAGTTTATATAAATTTTCATCCAATATTTTAGATTGTTTCCAATGGGAATTTCTGTTATACTCTTGACATTAGGGGCAGACTGATTTCCTTTCTTACATACTGAGATTTTATATAGATTTAGGTATATTGAAATACTTCTTAAAGCATTTAGCCTTGATTTAGGTATGTTAAAATACTTCTTTAAGTAGCTAGTCTGGAGTAAGGTATATTACTATACTTCTTAAAGCAGCTAGCCTTGATTTAGGTGTATTGAAATACTTCTTGAAGCAGCTAGCTAGCTTTAATTTAGGTGTATTGAAATACTGCAGCTAGGCTTTAGATATGTGGTTTAATATTTAATGAAACTTGTAAAAAATGTAAACTGTACAAATAAAGAAATTTAAGCATTGCTGTAGGCACTTACTATTCACAAAAAATCTTGTTACTTCTCAAAACATACAGAAATAAGTTTACCCTTTTTAGTAAGAGGTAAGGAAAAAAACAAATAATATGCATGAACCATTAAAAATGTCATTTATAATGTGAATATTTATGTTTTCTAAATATAGAACTATAAATTAATGATTAAAATATATTTTCTTCAAGTTTGATGTAAACTTTAAAGTTTTTGCCCATCTGAAGATGTGTCCCTTTAAAGCTTCTGCCTAGATAAAATCCATGTTAAGTTTATTTCAAGGTGAAATTTTGGGTTATCTAAGAAGGAAACAGTCTGCCCTGGTCTCTTTTCGTTTAGTGCTATTTGAAATTCATGGTATTTATGATCATTTGTTTGGGTATTTAAATTTGGAATTTAATGAAAGTAATAAATAAATAACATCAACACCAAGTTTCGTTTCTGTTGTTTATTATTACAATTTTGTATATATATATTGATGTAATTAAAGGGAAACAATCCACGTAGACTCGGTACTCCCATGACGGGATAGTTAAGGTTACTTTTTGGAGGGAAAAAATCCCTCTAATCGCAGTTTATTCGATTCCCGCCACAATCTACCATGCGATTTATCTACATTTCTTAGTGTCCGTGGTTCTACTCGGTGTGAGGGGGCTGCTTGTGTTAAAAGTTAATGCATGTAGGAGCATCTTGAGTAAAACCTGAACGAAGAGACCCCTATTTTGGTCCCTAATACTAGCGGAAAGCTTTGAACTTAGCATATTTGATTTGACTTAATCTTCGTCCATCAAAGTCTTGGACTCGCAATATGGAGTTTGTATTCTCCTCAGCCTTTAAGTAAATTAACATTTTCTTATTCAATTCAAATTAATTGTAAAAAATATTTGAACACAAAGGGAGATAATTTAATTTATGAATTTTAAATTATACTACGAGAAAATTACAATAAAAGAAAACCTAAAATATATTTAAATATGTAAGGTTAGCATATTTTTTGCAGGTATTTTAATGAATTTTGTTAACTATGCGACGGGAAAAATGCTTTAAAAGCAGACCCGAATTACTACATTAGCATATATTTCAGATACATTGATTATTTGATGATGTAGACAATACCTTTATTTATTTACGAAACAATTCTCAGTAAATCAAAAGTTACTGTGGACATAATGACAAATGCATTATGAATTGAACACCTCTCGCCACCAATCTTGTACAGGTTTATCACCCCCTTCAGCTAATATATGCACAGCATTAGTACCAAAAATGTCACATCTTACAATATAAAATGTCCATTGCGTGACAGTATACGATCCTGTGTTTTGTTCGCCTATTTAGTATTGCATAATAAAGCAATTTATTCCGTGTTAAAGAGAAATAAATAAGTGTTTTTGTTAATGCTAACAAATGAATGCATTTACTCGGCCATTAGGTGATGTCCATTTTAGCACATGTAATATATTCACTAATGACCTAGTTTGTCTATGACAAGTATTTTATCATGTCTCCGCGTCTAGGATAGTTAAGAAAATGTGATGAAAACAGCGCTCTAATTAATTATATAGTTATGTCGCAAGTATTGAATTACTTAAGAATGTCCAGTCAATTTTTTGTTACAAATATGTCATAAAATGCAATAGACTAAGCAACATCTTGATCCCAACAAAGAAAAACGCACATCTATCGGTATTTTAGGAAAATTTCAAAATAAATACTGACTGAATATCGAACAGTCCGGATCCGTGCCGGTCGATCTTAGTCTGCACCGGTCGCATATTTTATACAATTATTGCACCAACAGGGTCATTTTATTCCAGGAATGCAACTAAAAGATCAGTTTGTAAAATAAATGCAACAGAAATACTTAATATAAATGCAACAAATTAAAGAAATACAAAATGTGCAACTAAGATGAAAATGAAAACATATGCAATAAACGCCACAGTAACAATTTAAAAGATTTTCTGTTGCAATGAAAGCACAAAAAATAAAGATCGTTTTAAAATAATAAATGCAATAATCAAATGGTGCAAGAAACGTAAAGCAAATAACGTAGACCATATTATGCAACAAAAGCACCTGTAAAAATGACCATGTTATTCGATCAAGGCAAGATACCTAACGAAACCGCATCTGTTCGCCCAACTGTAATAAATAAAGCATATGCATGGCTGTAACTATTTATTAGGAGATGAAATAAATCATTGTTTTCTTGTGGTCAACCAATAGTAAAATTATGAATATCATAACAAAGGAGGAGGACCCATTCTCATGATTGATGTTATACAGATTTTGTCTTTTAGATCTTTTTAAGATTCATCTACCACCATAAAATAATGAGTTATCCTATTCAGATTACCAGCGTAAAAATGGTATGTTATCAAACTATTAAGAGTACCAACGTGAAAAGGTATGTTATCAAACTATTAAGATCACCAACGTAAAAAGGTATGTTATCAAACAATTAATATATCTAACGTAAAATGGTATGTTGTCTAATATTAAGATAACCAACGTAATATGATATGTAATTAAACTGTTAATATTATCAACGTAAAAATGGTATGTTATCAAACTATTAATATTACTAACGTAAAGAAATGGTATGTTATCAAACTATTAAGATTACCAGCGTAAAAATGGTATGTTGTCGAACTATTAAGATTACCAGCGTAAAAATGGTATGATGTCGAACTATTAATATTACTAACGTAAAAATGGTATGTTGTCGAACTAATAAGATTACCAGCATAAAAATGGTATGTTATCAAACTATTGAGATTACCAACGTAAAAATGGTATGTTGTCAAACTATTAATATAAATAATGTAAAAATGGTATGTTATCAAACTATTACGATTACCAACGTAAAAATGGTATGTTATCGAACTATTGATATAACTGACGTAAAAATGGTATGTTATCAAACTATTAAGATTACCAACGTAAAAATGGTATGTTATCGAACTATTAATATTACTAACGTAAAAATAGTATGTTATCAAACTATTAAGATTACCGACGTAGAAATGGTATCTTATCGAACTATTAATATTACTAACGTAAAAATGGTATGTTATCAAACTATTAAAATTACCTACGTAAAAATGGTATGTTATCGGACTATTAATATAACTAACGTAAAAATGGTATGTTATCCAACTATTATGATTACCCGCGTAAAAATGGTATGTTATCAAACTATTACGATTACCAACGTAAAATAGTATGTTATCAAACTATTGATATTACTAACATAAAAATGGTATGTTATCAAACTATTAATATTACTAACGTAATATGGTATGTTAATAAATTATTAAGACTACCAGCGTAAAAATGGTATATTATCGAACTATTAAAACTTCCAGCGTAAAAATGGTATGTTATCAAAATATTAGGACTACCAACGTAAAAATAGTTTGTTATCAAAGTATTAAGACTACCAGCCTTAAAAATGGTATGTTATCAAAGGATTAAAACTACCTGCGTAAAAATGGTATGTTATCAAAGTATTTAGACTGCTTGCGTAAAAATTGTATGTTATCAAAGTATTAAGACTACCAGCGTATAAATGGTATGTTATCGAACTATTAAGACTACCAGCGTAATAATGGTATGTTATCGAAGTTTTAAGACTGCCTGCGTAAAAATGGTATGTTATCGAACTATTAAGACTACCAGCGTAAAAATGGTATGTTATCAAAGTATTAAGACTACCAGCGTAAAAATGGTATGTTATCGAACTTTTAAGACTTCCAGCGTAAAAATGGTAGTTATCAAAAAATTAAGAGTACCATCTTAAAAATGATATCAAACTATTAAAATTAATGGTATTTATCAAACTTTGAAGTTTACCAGCGTAAAAAAATGGTATGTAATCATATTATTAAAACTACCAGTGTTAAAATTGTATATTATCAAAAAATTCAGACTACCAGCATAAAAATGGTATGTAATCAAACTATTAAGAATACCAGCGTAAAAATGTTATGTTATCGAACTATTAATATTACTAACGTAATAATCGTATTTGATCAAACTATTAAGATTACCAACGTAAAAATGATATGTTATCGAACTATTAATATAACTGACGTAAAAATGGTATGTTATCAAACTATTAAGATTACCAACGTAAAAATGGTATGTTATCGAACTATTAATATTACTAAACGTAAAAATGGTATGTTATCAAACTATTAAGATTACCGACGTAGAAATGGTATCTTATCGAACTATTAATATTACTAACGTAAAAATGGTATGTTATCAAACTATTAAGATTACCGACGTAAAAATGGTATGTTATCGAACTATTAATATAACTAACGTAAAAATGGTATGTTATCAAACTTTTATGATTACCAGCGTAAAAATGGTATGTTATCAAACTATTGAGATTACCAACGTAAAATGGTATGTTATCGAAATATTGATATTACTAACGTAAAAATGGTAAGTTATCAAACTATTAATATTACTACCGTAAAATGGTATGTTATCAAAGTATTAAGACTACCAGCGTAAAAATGGTATGTTATCAAAGGATTAAGACTACCAGCGTAAAAATGGTATGTTATCAAAGTATTTAGACTGCCAGCGTAATTATTGTATGTTATCAAAGTATTAAGACTACCAGCGTATAAATGGTATGTTATCGAACTATTAAGACTACCAGCGTAATAATGGTATGTTATCGAAGTATTAATACTGCCAGCGTATAAATGGTATGTTATCGAACTATTAAGACTACCAGCGTAATAATGGTATGTTATCGAAGTATTAAGACTGCCAGCGTATAAATGGTATGTTATCGAACTATTAAGACTACCAGCGTAAAAATGGTATGTTATCGAACTATTAAGACTACCAGTGTAAAAATGATATGTTATCAAACTATTAAGACTACCAGTGTAAAAATGGTATGTAATCAAAGTATTAAGACTACCAGCGTAAAAATGGTATGTTATCAAAGTAGTAAGACTACCAGCGTAAAAATGGTATGCTATCAAAGTATTAAGACTACCAGCGTAAAAATGGTATGTAATCAAAGTAGTTAGACTACCAGCGTAAAAATGGTATGTTATCAAAGTATTAAGACTACCAGCGTAAAAATGGTAGTTATCAAAGTATTAAGAGTACCAGCTTTAAAGTGATGTCGAACTATTAAAATTAATGGTATTAATCGCACTTTGAAGTTTACCAGCGTAAAAAAATTGTATGTTATCATATTATTAAAACTACCAGTGTTAAAATTGTATATTTTAAATAATTCAGACTACCAGCATAAAAATGGTATGTAATCAAACTATTAAGAATACCAGCTTAAAATGGTATCGAACTATTAAAATTAATGGTATTTATCGAACTTTGTAGTTAACCAGCGTAAAAAAAATGGTATGTTATCAAAGTATCAAAACAACCAGTGT